TTTTTTTTTTTTTTTTTTTGGCTCTTCAAGACTTCAATTTTAATTAACAGGAGCTATTTTAATTTTTTTTTCTTATTATTTTCCTTTTGATTTTATTACCTTCCCTTTTCAATTAGTATAATTAATTAATTAATTTAAAAAGGATCAAATAACTGTCCAATACTTACCATTTACAGCCAGTTGCTGCATACTTTGTCAAATTGAATATATATATGATATTTTATAGCATATATAGATATACTAGCAGCCTCTTGTTGTGCGATGCACAGCCGGCCCCGTAGTTGATTGCGGTTCTTCATTATTTCAAATAAAGAATGACCCCCCCATGAATTACTAATAATAAGATACAAATTAAAAATATGCAGGTCTAATTAATGTGGGAGTTGTAGGAGGTTCTGCTAGATTTAGAGTTCCACGAAGATACATTAACACTAAATTAAAACAAGTCATACAATATATAAAAGCAAATCAAACAAATTAAAAGAAGTCATACAATTAATGTTATATCCAAATCTCCCACAGAAGATATATAGAATGTTACGCTCGATCTTGAACTCCCTCCATTCCATAGAAGCAGGCACGGCACACATATATCATAAGAGCAGAATCCAAAAACTCCTAATATATATCTTCATCGCCACAAAAAATGTAAAATACTAATGTTCGAAATCTTTAAATTTCCAACTCGGATGATACTCTTATTATTTAGTGTTACATTACAAAGGGAGATACATTAGAAAAGAGTGATGATTTTGCAAAACTGAAGACCAACATTAATCAATACTTTAAGCTTGCCTAGTTTATGTAAAAGATAATATATATTGCGGTAATACCTCTTTTATTAGCAGATAAATGTATTTTTACTAAAACAAACAAACAAAATACTAAAATCCTTCACAGATGCAAGATATATAATATAGTATCTGATGTGTAACTTCACAACTAATTAAATGAAATCACACAAAGTACCATTTTCTAATAATGATTTTAACATAATACAATAATAAGTAGAAGAAAAACCTAAATAATTAATAAAATAAACTAAACATGAATAAAAAGTTTCTCTCTTGTAAACTACTTTTACAAAACATTAACATTATATAATAATCTCTCAGCAAAGGCAGAGTCCTTCAACATAACCTCATAGATTCAAGATCCACAAAAAAAAAAAAAAAAAAAAAAAAAAAAAAAAAAAA